CTCTAGAAATGGGCTGAACTGTAGACTTCCCTTGACATGTACAAAGTGCAGGGTAACCAGAGGGGCCCTTGACGCCTCTAAAGAGCAGGGCTTTTTAGATTTTTACTCAGTGGCTAGGTTGTCACCTGGTGGAAGCACCTGGAACAAGGTTTTGTGGTCCTTTTTAATAAATACCAACAGCACAGTGTCCACTGCCCTGTGACATCACTAACAGTCTTCTCTAAAGACTTTCAGAATCAAGTGATTCCTAGACAAGAAATAAAAGCAAAATCGTCCCATTCCCCACTAGATTTGGATGAAAACTGGTGACAAAATCAGGGTCAACTCCAAGAGAAGACAGGGGGAGAGGCAAGCCGGGTCTGTGAGGCGTTACACATGATGGCACTACTGCTTAAGCTGAATTGTGGCCATCCACTCAGTGGCCCTACTGGATAGAGCTAAAAATTTGTAACGTGGAGATTTGGCCATATTTAAATTAGGAATCTGATTCGCTTTTTACCTGTTCTGCCTGAGCAAATTGATTAGATCAGAAATAAATATATGGACACTTTGGAAAAAATATTACTATGTGACTGTTTTGCCAAATTTTCCCCTCCCCCTTCTTGGGAGACCTGCCCTCTGAGGGCCCAAGGCTGACAAACTGGCAGAGTACCTTATACTTGGGTTTTGCATAGTTTATGACATCCAGGAAAGGGTGACTTACAAAGGCATGAGTTCCCAAGGCTTTTTCTTCCCCATATTTGAAAATCAAGCACCATCATCAAGTCCTACCTGCAGCCTTCTTTACCTTTTCATACGTGGTTCGTGTGTGGTTCTCGGCTCGGCTCCGTCCCGTGTCCAATATGGCAATGGCCCCACCCCTTTCCCCAATGCCCTCTGCGTAGACCCGCCCCTGTTCAGGTCTATCTTTTCGGAGGACATCTACCCACCAATGACTCATTCAGCAATATTTTTTGAGGACCAGACACCTCCCTCAGCTCTGGGGATATGCAGGTAAAAAGCGCAATTGAAACGTTGCTCTGACGTGGTTTACATTTTCATAGTAAGAACTGTCAGCGGAAGGGCTATACCAACAAGATCACTGAACAAATTGCAGTGAATGGGAGGACCAGACACCTCCCTCAGCTCTGGGGATATGCAGGTAAAAAGCGCAACTGAAACGTTGCTCTGACGTGGTTTACATTTTCATAGTAAGAACTGTCAGTGGAAGGGCTATACCAACAAGATCACTGAACAAATTGCAGTGAATGCTATGAAGGAAGAAGTGTGGACAGAGAGATGAGAGGCCCTGTCCCGCTGGCTCTTGAAATAGGCAAAGTTCGAGAACCATCCAAAGGAAGAAACTCGGCCTAAGCTTGGAAGTGAGAGAGGAGGGACCTTCTAACCTCCAACCACTGGAGCAGGTAAGACTTGCCTGTATCTGCTTTTGTCTTTGGACTGTGAGATTGAGCATAACATTTGTAATAATGTTTCCTAAAGATTCTATTCCCCCAAATTAAAGAAACTTCAAGTCAGAAGAGTTCTGGCTGACAGCTATAATCCCAGCATAGCTTTGGTGTGTACCTTCTGTCCCAGACCCCTTATCTTTTAAAGAAGCCAGAATGGGTTGTGTAGACAGACCCTCTGAACCTCCAGCTTCTCAGCTGGCAGGGTGTGAGAAGTGTGAGCCATACTTGAATGCATGGTAAAAATCAGAGCACCAGCAACAATAACCCATTTCTCTTTTCTCAATTCTTTCCAAAGCAGTGAAACTGACACTTCCCCTTCAGGAACTCCATGCTACTCTGTCACCAGGAAATGCAGCACATTCAGACATGAGCCACAGGCAACTCTTTCCAGTCTGAGAGGGAGAATATTCCATGCTGCTGAACCTGCCAGACACTTAGAATATCAAACTGAGCCACTCCCTAAATAAGCTCCAAGTCATTATGCCAACAGGTATGTGGAAAACACAGGAAATTATAGGTTTTGTGTGTGTGTGTGTGTGTGTGTGTGTGCATGAAATATATACAGAAGTTAAACTAGCTATCTTTGCTGCCATAATATAAAACTTGGTGTATACTATTGTGGAAAAAAAACAATTTTTACTAAAGTAAATCTGTGGAATAGAAGTGTCCTTGGAACTGATTGCCACTCACATGATACATAATTATGTAGGAATAAGCCGTGATAGTTTATCAACTGAAATACAAGCTGACTTTTCAAAATCCTCAAATAGTTTAGTACATACACAAATAAAACAACTGAACTACAGGGTTCTTGTCATGACCTCAGTGTCAAAGGGAAAAAGCATGTGGTCATGGCAGTCTGTGAACTCACTGCCTACAGTCCATTGTTAACCGGATTTTTTTAATTAAGTCATTTAAGAACAACTTTATAAGTTAGCATAAGTGTCCTGGAGTGGCACTGAAAATTGTTTTGTAAATGTATCTTTTAAATTTTGGTTGCATTTTTATTCAAAATCAGCTGGAAATCTTTAATCAAAATAGTCAGTGCTTGGAGCAGTCCAAAATTTCAGGATTTACTCTAGAAAATTTAATTACTGAAAAAAAAGTTTTCAACCAAGAAGATATTGAAATTTCACCACACAAAAGCAAAGGAAGAACTGTGCGCAAAATAAATAATGTGAGTCTAAATGTATTATAATGAGATTTAGTTTAAAAGAATGATCATAATTTGGACTGTTTTGACTCATGATTTCCTCTTATCAGATATTATGGGGACCTTAAAACTTTTAATTTTCAATTTAAAATATAAACAGAAAATGTGAATTAACTTCAAATTAACAATAAATGTAAATTTGAAGTTGCTTTTGGGTAATATAAGATATTAAACATAAAAGGCTCTATTGATGCAGCTTGCAATCTTTAGAAAAGTATGTATGATGCAGTATTAGAGAGCTTATCTATGAAACAGGCTAAAATATATTATCATGGGGGCTGGCCATGAGTGGTAATCCTTGTAATCACAGCACTTGAGATGTGGAAGCAGGAGGATCAGGAGTTTAAGGTTCAAGGTCATCCTTAGCTACACAGAAAGTTTGGGACTAGTTTGGGTTACAGACTACCCTGTCTCAAAAAACAAACAAAACCAAACAGTACAAAAAGTATATTATTATGCATCAAAAACAATTCTTTAAAAAAATCAAAACCAAAGAAACAAAAATAATTCTTGTTATATTTTATGTTCTAAGAATCAGTTTAATTTTTTTTAAATTTTGCTATAGTCAATATGGATATACATTGTTTTTTGAAGTAATTTTTCTTCTGACAATTGAGAATTACTGATTTCAGGCTCACAAGGCTCAGTTCTCATTCTGTATTAACGTTGATCACACATCTTGAACACATCAGCTACAGAGCAAGCTGTGGAACCAGCATGCCCACGGAGAGGGCTTCTTCTGCGTCAGAAAAAGAACGGAAGGAAGCGCGGCTTGAAAACAGGTAAGAGCCCGGTGGAAGCCCTGCTTGAAAAATCTTGGCCAAAAACTAAAAATGCTTAAGTGAAGTTTGAGGCCAGACATAATAATGAAGAAGTCCTTGCAGACATTTTAAAAACTGCATTTAAAAGGGATTAAGTAGAGTGAGCGACAATCACCCTCTCCCCCAAGCTGTTTGTTTTCAAAGGCTCTGCTGTGCGAGTCACATAGGACCCCATTGTTTTCTCAAGGGCCAAAAGTCAGAAGTCCTTTCCCTGGACTGGACCGGCCTGCTCCACCCACGGATCGCAAAGCTCTGAGGTCTTAGCTTTTGTGGTTCAGCTGCTGTCTCTCAGGGATGGATGAGTTAGGCTTCCTATCACGACAAGAACCAACCATTTTCGGCTGAAGCTAAACGCTCAAGAGAAAAGTTGGATAAATCATGCACAATTTAAAGGAAAGGAAAGCCAAGCACATTCTTCATCGTTCCACTTCAAAGTAATTTTACTTTCCATCAGGACAGAGCTTTGAGGCACTCTTCCCAGGCTCTTGAAACACCGAACAATAGATCTTTGCCTTTCGCTATGCACAATTTAAAGGAAAGGAAAGCCAAGCACATTCTTCATCGTTCCACTTCTTGAAACACCGAACAATAGATCTTTGCCTTTCGCTGGTTCTCTGACGCAGGACATCAATTTTCTCTCTTATCATCTGCTTCAGAGATGTTTCTAAATGCTTCTTCCCTCTCTGTCCACAGCTGTTATTTTATATTTACTTTTTCTTCAATGTCAACTCCAGTCTCTCTTCCGTCATGACGCTGCCTCAGGCCAGCCCATCCCACAGTCACCCTTCTTTTCCTCCCTCCTTTCCTTCCTTTCTCCCTCCCTCCCTCTCTCTTTCCCTCCTTCCCTCTCGTTCTTCATTCTGTCTTCTTTCTTCCCATCCCCCCTCCTTCCTTGTGGTACTAGAAACTGAACTTTGCACATGCTGTCTAAATGCTCTACCACTGGGTTATATCCCCAGCCCTAGCACCAACACCAGCCCTCTTTACATGTGTGTCAGGAGCAGGAATTGTGTGTGTGCATGCGTGTGTGTGTGTGTTGTACACACTTGTTTGTGAAGGCACATGTGTGTGCAGGTACACATGTACATGTGTGTCCATGTGTTGGAGTCAAGCGTCGACCTTGGATGCTTCACTCTCCGCCGTTATTTTTTGAGACAGGGTCTCTGGCTAAATCTGAAGTTCATTGATTTGGCTAGATTGGCTGTCCAGTGAGCTCCAGGGACTCACCACTTTCTGCTCCCACCCCCAGCTCTGGGATTGCAGGCGTGTAGTGTTGTGTCTGGCTTCCTGTGTGGATTCTGGGATCTGGACTCAAATCCTCATGCTTGAGTGAGTGGAGCTTTACCCACTGCACCATTTCCCCAGCCCTAAGATCAGATTTCCTCTAGTGAAAACACCAAAGCAGTGATTGCAAATGGAATATCAAGTAATGCTGCAATGTTAGGAAGGCAACTGTCTGATGTGGCAAGCGGCTCTGGGATTCTGGGAGTCCAAAGACCAAAGGTGTCAAGCCATTCTGAAATTATTGGAGGCCAGCCACCTAATGTTTCCAGTAGCTCTGGCTTTATTGGTGCCCCACCACTAGCTTTCTAAATAACTGTGGAATTTGGGGAATACAGTTACCAACTGTGTCCGGTAGCTCTGGCCTGCTTCTGGTAGGTGGAGAACTTACTGCCTCCAGACGTACTTACATGAAGAAAGAGGTAAGTGTGGAGTGGGAAGCCATTGATTTCATCCTAAAAGTGGTTTTGAAACCAGAAGATTTGAAGAAGTTCACAGATGCTGGGTATGGTGGCACCTGCTTTTAATCCCAGCATTTGGGAGGCAGAGGCAGGCAGAGCTCTGTGAGACTGAGGTCTCCATAGTGAGTTCCAGGACAGCAGGGGCTACAGGGAGACCATGTCTCAAAAGAAAAAAAGAAAGAAAGAAAGAAAGAAAGAAAGAAAGAAAGAAAGAAAGAAAGAAAGAAAGAGAGAGAGAGAGAGAGGGGGAGGGAGGGAGGGAGGGAGGGAAGGAGAGAAGGAGGGAAGGAGGGAGGGAGAGAGAAAGAAAGAAGGAAGGAAGGAAGGAAAGAAAAGAAAGAAAGATGAAAGAAAGAAAGAAAATACAATAAAAATAACAA